CCCGCCCCTTCCCCAGGAGCCAGTCAGGACAGCAGGTCAGCTGGCCCTCGGAGCACAGAGGGAGCCCTGACAGGCCCAGGGCTGCAGGGACAGGGGGAGATGAGGGTCCCCTCCAGTGTGGCACCCCCAGGGGTGGGTACATGTCTCACTCCTCTGACATTGAGCTGACATTAGCTGACATGGAGCTGACATGGAGCTGACATAGAGCTGATATTGAGCTGACATTGAGCTGATATTAAGCTGACATTGAGCTGACATGGAGCTGACATGGAGCTGAAATGGAGCTCGTGTCCCACTCCTCTGACATTGAGCTGACATTGAGCTGGCATTGAGCTGACATTGAACGGACATTGAGCTGACATTGAACTGACATTGAGCTGGCATTGAGCTGACATTGAGCTGGCATTGAGCTGATATTGAGCTGGCATTGAGATGGCATTGAGCTGATATTGATCTGGCATTGAGCTGACATTGAGCTGGCATTGAGCTGACATTGAGCTGATATTAAGCTGACATGGAGCTGACATGGAGCTGAAATGGAGCTGATATTGAGCTGGCATTGAGCTGATATTGAGCTGACATTGAGCTGGCATTGAGCTGATATTCAGCTGGCATTGAGCTGACAATAAGTTGGTCGTTGGAGGCCACAGGTGTTCCTGGCTCTCACATGAAGCCTGTGCACCACCCCCTGGAGATTCCCTCTGAGACCACTTGAGCTGATATTGAGCTGACAATAAGTTGGTCTTTGGAGGCCGCAGGTGTTCCTGGCTCTCACATGAAGTCCGGTCCCTGTCTGTGCACCACCCCCTGGAGATTCCCTCTGAGACCACTGGCCCTGCCCTGCGCATCAGGCGATGGAGGGAAGGCAAGAACCGCAGGCCAGACGCAGGACATGCGGGGCCGGGCCCAGGGCCGCTTCTGGAGAAAGGTCCCAGGCCAGAGTGGGGACCGCGCACCCCATGGCCCCGGGCTCAGTGGAGCAGCCTGACTGTCCGGTACACGCACAGCTCCTTAGACAGCGCAGGAGAGGGAAGGAGCCACCCAGGGGTCCCCACCCCTGTCCCAGGTGCCACCCACCTGGCCCAGGAGGCCTCACAGAGAGACACAGAGTTCTGGACACCGTCCCTGGAGCGGCCCCGGTGGCCCTTCCCGCCCCCAACCAGGCAGGGTCAAGGCGGCGCCGGGAGCACCGAGGGCCCCGGGGAAGACGGGCCTCCTGGGTCCGAGGAGGGACATGCCGTCCCCGTGCTCAGGGCACAGGTGGCC